GCACCTTGTATACTGACCACAAGAAGCCAATGAAAACTCCCGAATAGCCTTATCCAATGATCCAGTTTTTAATAATATGCGATATCTCTACGCGTGATTCATCGTCCTGTTTGTTGTACTAGGATATTGAGAAAAGAGAAAACCAGTGTCCGGACCCGCCGCCATGTTCAGACATCAGTGACTGCAATACTGTGGAATCACCTTAACGCAATCGGTGCCAAGCCCTGGACTTGCTTATATTTCTTCCTTAGCGCGAGCTCAATACATAGAGGGTATTACAAGGTGGCGAGAAGATATGAAATTTACAGTTCTAAAATTCATATCTTCGAGCTAATGTTTTTTTTATTATTATTATTATATAGACATACTGATGACGGCGTTTTTGACGATTTTGCAAATGGAGCATAAGCTATTGTGAATCCCAACTAGTATGAGGCTGACCAGTTGGCTATTTGCACAACGCGGTCGAGGAGTTGAACAAATCTAGATAGCGGTAGGGAGGAGGATTTGAACCAGGGACCTCCAGATTTCAAATCCAGCGCAAATCTGTAACCGGCTAGTACAAATAATATAACTGAACGGAGATATCCGCAGTCAGTACGAATGCACTTGAAGGTTATTGACGTCGGTCATCCGAGGCACATCCAAGGTGGTCGAGGATCATGATCGCCCGAGGCCTTTCAAAGATCCGAACATTTTCGAACATCTCCGACAATTACCCGAACCCTTCCGCACATCTTTAAAGATTTCCGAAGATCATCCGAAGCTTGCCGAAGACTTCAGAACATTGTCAGAAGTTTTGCGGATAATTTCGGAAATTTTCGAAATATATTTGGAATACCTAAACAAACGAGGTGTAGTGTATTATTATCAAGTAATCAGATGATAATTCTCGTGCAATTTGGAATAAATAAACTAAGACTTTTCCAAAGACTACAAATTGCGCTCGCCAGTAAAATTTACTCGTGTTTATTTATTCCAAATTGCACTCGATATCATATGACTACCTACGCTTATCAGAAACAGGGCTGGCCTGCGACTTCGAAGACTGGCGTGCCCAACGTGGGAGAGATATATGGTTCTCTAGAATTACTTGCATTTACAGCCTGCTTTCTTAAGATAACGAATTATGTCTGCTTGCCGGCTTTTTTTAAATAAAGTCATTAAAAACAGATTTCCTGATTCTTGTTTCTTGATAGAACAACAAACGTATTGTCACAACAGAGAGGTCCGTTGTTTGTCTTTTAATTTTATGAAACATTCTTCATGTTCTTTTCGCAATACACTTCAACGAAGGAAGGCCAGAAGTCTTGAAAAGGGCGAAACTTCACAGAATTACGAAAGGGTTTAAAATCATGACTGAACGTTAATTGAGTTCGCTTTCAGAGGAAATTAATTTTTCGGACAGTGTCTGAAAACATTATGCTAGCAGGGGCTTTAATCCCGACAAAATAATTGATCTGCTTTAGTTTGCCCGTCCAGATGAAGCCAAAGATTATTTTATTAGCCTCAATTGTGACCTCGTTATCCAAACAAATGATAGAAAGACTAAAAAGAGGGCGATCTTGATAAAATTTCCTGGTGTACAAAACATTTTCTCCCAGTGTCTCGGAATTATAAATGAAAAATGAACAATTATTGTAAAGCAGGAGGACCGTTCATCACAGACTCAATGAATGAGAGTAAGCAACTCAAAAAAACTCTGTTACGACTGGAGTCTCAGACGATTGCTAAAAATTGTGCTCAAACCACACACCTGACACTATAGGAGAGCAAGATTTTTAAAGAAAATTGCATCTACGATGTACATTGTTACGTAGTGATTCAGAAAGCCGAGAAATGTTGACTTATGAGTCTAACGTCTTCAATATCAGTGATAAGCGGTAATTGCTGATCTTATCTGATGAAGCCGGAGATTATTAGCTGTGTTATCTTTACAAAAACACGCATCAATTCTACACGATATCAACATGGCGAAATCTACCAAAAATTCTTCGTCTCCTCCACCTCCATACATACACACTATATGTACCTCCTGAAGTATTTTGAATTACATTTAGTGTGAGAACTGTACTGCCGACAATCTCAAAATTGAGCTCATATGTGTTGAACTGATTTGTCTACATATATGTATGTATAATATTGAACTGATTTGCTCATATTGAACTGAATTCTTCACTTCCTAATCTTTTCCTATAGTCGCTATGGACGTCATTTGTCGAGTACTGTCTCGCGTTTATGAATCATAATTGACGCATCACTTCTCCTGTCTCCAGGTAGGTACGTTTCTTGTCTTAATACTTCACTTCCCAACAAAGATTTCCAGTTCAGCTGCAGACGTTTATAGAAATGAGGTATCATAACTCTCATTACATTAGTGATCTCTGCAGTTGGATGAAGCTATCTATATGTGGTTAAAACTGTCTTTAAGCGGAAACACTGAGATAAATAGATATTTCAAAGCCAGTCATATAATATCACCTAAACTCAAAACATTTAGAAGTAGGTGAATGAAATCCTGTACGACTTTAATAAGGATCAATACATGATTCGTTTAATCTGTGCCACGTACCCTTAGCAGCGTAGAGAGTATATTATGTATGGTAAATAGAATATCGAGTCAAGTGCAGAGTGAGTACACTGGACTCCAGTTCATAAATCTTAATAACAAAAATGTGCAAAATGTGGGCCGATATCGGCAGAGTTAACAAAAATACATGATAGTTAGCCATATCATGTCTAAAGCAAGAAGACGGATGGTCATAACCATGTGTCATTCTGTGCGGTACGGTTAAGTTCATTTTTTCGAGCTTCCAAGTCTGCGTCTCTTTAGAAAGTCAGTACCTACTAATCGTTGGGAGAAAAAGTATAAATTAAGGTCTGTAATTGAGGCTATCCTTTCAGCGTGCTTGTTTATCTAAACGCTTACTCATTATCAAGCGCCCGGTTGACATAAGGTACACTAAGTACCAGTTTAAATCGCTATCTACAACGCGAAACGTTCCAAGCGTCAGGTCTCTCTTGGGGGTGGCGGGAGGTCTAACACCCGCTGCAGTGTTTAGCGTCAATCTCATACTTTTTAATACGCGGCTCAAGCGTAATAACGGGTCATGCCTATGTTCAGCTATCTGACAAACTAGTTGACTTCTTTTTTTAATAATTAATCACAGATGTCAAACGAAACAAAAAACAACAAAGACAATCAGAAATCTGATGAGCATATTATTAACTTCATTTTAATACATAAAGCCTTACAACTGGGGTGTTAAAATGGTGTCAAAGTATTTAACGCCAAAGAAAGTGTATGATGCGATGACTCGTGTCACCAGCTTGGACCTCGTGGTGTTAAAATGATCTTTGCGACGATTTACTGAACTAAGTTGCTCAGCAGAGTGTATCAAAGCAAGTTATTTAAAAATTAAGGTGTCAAATCTCCCCAGGGGGGCATGTGTTACAAAAAATGTCTAAAATTTCAGACATTTTGCCAGGGGCTAGTACCCTGCTTAGCTGTGTCTCACACCTAATGAGTGGGTGGCAGGTGGTAGTAGAAGCCACGCTCTTAGCTCGTCGTAGGGTAAGAACTAAGTTTAAACCCCCTTAATGAGTGAAAAGAACGAAGTTAAATAGGATTTCCCAATGACATGCGCTAGCATTAGTTATATTCTCCTTACAACATAACTACCCAGCTGACCAGATGCTAAGGGAAACCAATGCCCATCAACTATCGGCTGAGCGAGTGCCTTGAGGAACCAAAAATACACACAGAAACATTTGAATAAGAAATAGTCGGCTGAAACAGTTGATGAACTGTGTCAGCAAAACAAAAGCAATGAACATACGTACACTCTACGATAGAAGGTGGCTGCCTTGTATTTCACATCTTCACCAGATATTTAATTTAGAAATTACCATCTAAACGTTACTGAACTAGAAAACAGCAGAACAAAGTGAGTTTGAAGTCGGTTTATGTTTGGCCATTTACATGGTTAATTTCAGTTGGCATCTTAGGTTTGTATTATGAAAAGGCAGAAAGCTTTATTTGCCCACATGTGTAACTATTTGCCTTTGACTCAATTTTATTGAAAACTTTTCACTTAGAGTATTTGCACAGCTTAACTGCCCTTTACAGAGTCGGAGCTTAGAAGAGCTTAAACCCTCTTTCGTATTGCGTGCTTTTGCTATCAAAACATGAAATCTAGGTTTTAAATCGGAACTGTTAACCGCAGCAATTCCCTCCTCGTTTTTCTTTTTTAATAGCTTTCTTCCTCCACTGTCTCCGTAAATATTGGCCTCGAGCTATCTGATCCTTAAAATTTTAATCTCGTGGAACCTTTTAAGATATAACGAGGATTAAAACGCATTGGCGGAAATTTAAAAGCCCAAATGCGCAGCATATTTCATCAGAAGACGTCTTAATCTCACTTTTGTGGTTTGTCGCTAATACCGCTTGGGCTCTTCGTCTCGAGTGTCACAGATTCATCCCGGCGTGTGTCTGGTGATAAGATTAAAAGAAACGCATTCAAATTTCAGACAAAGAGCGAAAAGAGACTACCCAATTTTACTAACTTTTATTTTACAGATAATCATTTATTCCCGTGGCGCCAGAACATGAAAGAACTATTGTCTTCAAGAATGATGATTAGAATTTTCATAAAATCAAAAACACACCTGCCCGAGGCAATTCACTTTAACTCTTCAATAATTGATGAATTCCAATTTCGCCAAATGTTTACGCGGCCATAGCGATCGAAAAGAACAATTAGGATCCAAAAGAAACAATAGAGGCTGAAAAACGGAGGATGTAATTGATTTTGAAGCATTACTGAAGCTGCCCAGCCCAAACAACGAAAAATTGGTCAAAGTCGGCGCCGTAAATGACAAGAAAGTGGCTTTAATATCAATGGATTTCATTTTCGAATCTCAGCAGAGGTAAAGGTAAAAGTAAATGTTACTTTGGTCAAGTCGCTCCACTTTGTAACCAGTGTGATTTTATGTTTATGTTTAGCAGTACGTCATTTCCGTATCATTCACTTCCGTTCTGATTGAGAAAGCCGCTGCACGATTCCAAACAGTTCGACGCGTGTCACAGAAATGAAGAAGATTGGACATGGCTTGGAAAAGTTGGATTTTCTTCGTTAAATTGGCCACGATTCTCTTCCGTATCTCAGTGGAAGATAGAGGTAAGAGAATTTTTCTCCTCTTTAGGAATTAAGCGAGTAAACTCAAATATTGCGGTCTCACGTGAAAACGAAAATTTTTCTGGTTTGCCAGTGGTTGCGGCGCTTGAGTGGAGGGGCACGATTTTGTCGGATTTACTTGTCCAGGAGGTAATAAATCGCTTTCAAAGGATGACCTCCTTTGGAGATCTCTGTCGCTGTATGCGTGACTTTCCCAACTCTATGTAGATCTGTCATTCGAACGCTTAAGGAATATTGACTGCGATGAAACGTAATCTAAGCAGCGATGATGCGTTGCGGTTGTTCTTTCCCAATGGGTGGTTACTACTGTTTACTTCGGCTACAAAAACACGGATAAGGCGAGGCTATCAAAACCAGTTAGAGACCAGACCCGATAACGGCGTATTCGCTTAATTTTAAGCGCTATTAGAGAGGAGAGTCGAAGGAAGTTTCTTGAATTACGTTCCAGAGATTCGTCCGTCTGCTGATCAGAAATCTATTTCTAAGAAAAAGAAAAGTTCTACCACACTTCCATCGCATGTAAATGACGTTTTCCAGTGAAAATATGTAATGTGAATTTTTTTTTTAGCTTTGTTTGGAAAGTGTGGCCGCTTTATTTTCAAATCGCACGCCCAAAACTCAAATAATTTGGAAACCTGACACGCCACATTTGAGACTCTTTTTAAGTGGAGTAGGTTTCTTCGATATTCTGCTATTTGCCCAGCAATTAGCACGTCTAACATTTAACTTCCGATCAGCGTTGGTGTTCCTTTTGCGCTGCGAAAAACCTACCTAGGGAAAGTTTGAATTTAGATAATTTTCGTTTTATTTAACGTAATGCATTGCTGTTCATAAAAGGTTGGATAACCGTACAACTACACCTTTTATGTCTTTAATGGTTCGCAGCTTGAGATTATTCTGCTAATGATCTCACTACTCTTAAATGTTTCGAACGCAATTCGAAGTTACGACGATTTCTTTATTTCCAAGACAAATGAAACGATTCTTTACTTTTCTAATGTCACTTACTCGTAGAGGTAATTGAAAAAATGATGACTTTAACAGAAACATGTCTGTTTCTTTTGTCGTTGACTGTGTCAGGCTGGAAAGAGATTTGCATACAAGCTGCAATCGAAGCATAAATGTTTTGCTTGATGGGAAGAGTGCAAATTCGTAAACAACACTTAAAGAAGGTTCGGATTTAACAGCTGTTTCCAAAAGATGTTTACAACAATTGACATTTATTGCTGGCATGGTTCGTTATTTGATGAAATGTTTTCTGTAGAAGTTTTTCACCCCAGCGTGGAGCGGGTTTAATCCGTGCGCGGAAAAGACCAGAATTCTGTAATAAACAGGAAAGTTGTCGCTAATGCAAATACAAGATGAAAGCAATATTATATGCAAATCGATTTCAGGAAGCATTATCTTTTTTAAGCCTTTAGGGGTAAAAGTGTTATTTCCTTTATCAACTTCAGTTCACCGAAGTTAGGTCTTGGTTAAAAGTAAATACTTTTAGTGGAGTAAAGTAATTAAATTACCACCCGAACAAAATTAATTATCATTGTACACCAGTCATAAGGGTTTAAAACAATTTAATTTTTGCATGGGTTCGGTGTCCTGAGATCAGAAGAATTTTTTTTCCGGTTTTGAGTCTTGTTTAATCAGTAGCGATGTTCAGTATTATCTTCAGAACATCTTTAATACAAGCCATACATTTGGAGTCTGGCTGACTCACAGAGAAGGCTTCAATATGCTGTAGTTTGGGGTCACAGTAGGAGTTGCACAATAATTTGGTTTTTCTTTTCTGTTGAGTCACAGAATGGATTTTTACTTCACTGCACACAAATACATGGAGTACTTGGGAACAACAAATCTTGTTCCAAACTTTTTATAAAGTAAACATTATGATTCACGGAATTATATTTTTTGTTTGGTGTATAAAATAGTCACGTTGAAAATCATAAGACACATTTTTGTTTTTTAGTTTAGTGTTTAATCTGTATGATTTCCCAGCATGATAAAAATAAGTGATAAATGTATTAACTTCTTACTTGATAAATCTTAAATTTCTAGTAGAATATAGATCAAGCTAGTCCTTCAAGTATCATAAATAAACCATTGTGAATCTGAAACTATGCTTAATCTTCTTTACTAATGTCTTCCACTTAACTCATTTTACCACAACATGTATATGAGACCCATCTCTATGTTGTTTTTAGTTATGCTTCTTAATTCCTTGCTAGAAGAGGCTCTTTTCCAACACCAGGAAAAGAGCTTCTGCTAGCAGGGAAGCCTTCTTAATATGGCTCAATACAGATCTGTGAATATGACAGTCTTGTCATAATTTTTGAAGAAAAAACACTGTGAGCTCCCTTGAGAACTTTTTCCTTTTCCAAAACCAAAAAATATATATTTATCCCTTCATTTCTTAACTATTGGTATCCCTATTTGTCAGTAGAATGACAGGACTGGTAGGTTTACTAATACTCCTGGATTAGATACCTGGGCCTGGTTGTTTGAAGCCTGATTAAGCTAACCCAGGATTAGTGAGAATTTTGATTTGAGTTTTGTAACTTTTTGGTGTGGGTTTCTGTGTATACTGTTTTGTCCTTCAGTTTTGAGCTTGACCAAGCTCAAACTACACGAAATGTAAGCAGTAAAGAACATTTTTATGCAAAAAAATTAATACTTTGGTTAACTTTTAATCCTGGGTTAGTGTTAACAGGCTTTTGAACAACCCTGCCCTGGTCATTGCTGGGTCTTTTCCAATAGTTTGGTCAGCCTACCCTATCAATTGTCTTTCTCATTTATCTTTGCACGCAGAGCTAAAGTTGCTGTGCGCGTGTGCCTAAAAAACTCACATGCTCAGAAACACAGCAAATGTAACCTAGCAAGATCTTGGTGGTTGACTTCATCTCCCAATAACAATTAGATTTTCTCTTTCTTGTTTGACTAAGTGCAACTCATCTAAACAATCTTACATATAATCTTTTTTTCCACATGCCATAGTGAGCATACACCTGTAGCTGTGTGTCTTTTCAGTACTACATGTATTCATTCAAAGAAGGCTTAGTTTTACCAAAAGTATTTGCCAATATTGATACAAGCTCTTCAGCATGGTGTAAATGTTATGCGGTTGATAATCTTCCAAGCCAAAAGGGAAGTCTGCTCACAGTACATGTATGTTGAGCAGACAGCTGATGAGAACAAATAAACCCTGTACTTGAGGATGTACCATTATTGCTCGTGCAAGGTTCAGGTCTCAACTTGTTGCTAACTGGATATGAAATTCTATTTTAATGCTCACAGCCATCTTGCTAGAAAGACCTACACCTGGTGTGACTGGTCCACAGAGCTGGTACTGGGAGACATCACATAGTGAGGGCCATGGATCAGGGGTAATTAGTTGCATGCACTGATCTATGTATGTTCATAACTCAATTAACTTTTTAAGGCCGCTTGTTTTCACTAGTGAAGGAGTTGTAGTCAGAGTCGTAATCAAACCAACCAAGTCAGAATCAGAACACCCATTCCGCTTAAGACCCTTTCGCTTATGATTCAGTGAAAACTATAAGTAGATTGTCAGAGTCAGAAGCAAAAGTGGAAGAATAAACCAATCACTTGTTTGGTTCCTGGCCTTGTGATTGGTTGGTTCTTCCGCTTCTGCTTTCAACTATGACAATCTAGTTTTCACTGGATTGTACAACGTAAAGGACAAATATGTAAATTGAGTTGGAAGAAATGGAGACATTCTGATTCTTCCAACTCTGACTCCGTCGAGCTTATGACTCTGCTTACGCCTCTGATTTTGATTTTCCTATTATTATTATTATCATCATCATCATCATCATCATCATCATCATTATTATTATTATTATTATTATTATTATTATTATAATATTGGCCTCATGGTTAGTGTGCTCGACTCCGGATTAAGTGGTCTGAGTTTGAGCCCCGGCAGGGAGTATTAAGGTACTTTAATCTCACAGTGCCTGTCTCCACCCAGGGCCGGGTTGTTCAAAGCCTGATTAAGCTAACCCAGAATTAATGAGAATTTTCTTTTCAGTTTTGTATTTTTTTTTGGTGAGGTTTTCTGTTTGTCCTTCAGTTTTGAGCTTGACTAATCTCAAACTACACAAAACATAAGAAATGAAAAACAGAAAAATGGTTACTTTGGTTAACTGCTAATAATCCTGGGTCAGGGTTAACCAGCTATCAAACAACCCAGCCCAGGTGTACAAATGGGTACTGCAAATTTTTCAATGTTGGGGGTAACTCTGCAATGGACTAGCATCCCGTCTAGAGAAAAAAAATATTCCTAGTCACTTCATGCTACAGAAACTGGGATATGCTCCAGCCTGATGGGTCACTTGGCTTATATGCAGACTTTACCTTACCTACAGTATTACATGTATTGTTATTATTACTATTATAGCTGTAATAATAATAACAATGACAATGACAATGATAATGACAATGACAATGACAATGACAATAATAATAATAATAATAATATATTATTATTATTATTATTAACATAACTATTATTGTTATTATTATTACTACTATTATCATTACCAAGGCTTCTCAGCAGTACAAAGTAAAATATAGCTCTCAGAAACCACATGATGTGTTTGAAAATTCATATATAGCGTTAAACAACATATGTTTTGGATGAAACATCATCCATCATCTGTTTACAAGAATACCTGAGAAAATAGGCAATAAATGGTTAACAGTGTGTAATGAAAATAAGAATATTTTAAGGATTAAGTGGTGAAACAGAAAAAGTGAAAACAACTAACTGCTCATTTTCTAAGTTATTCTTGTAAAATGATGATGGATTATCTTCCCTCTGAAACATGTCTTGTTTATTACTTAATAATACTTATAATGCTTCTCTTGTATTTTCTATCAATACTAGTTATTTTTACCATTGAACCTTTGAAATGTAATTTAGGAGAAAGTATATTTTTTGAATATTACATGTTCGCAGAACAAGTATATTTTTAAATGTCTTTTTATACAAAAATGCGTTATTTTTGATCCACAACAAATTTGGGAATAAAAAATGTCTTTTGAGAACTTTTTGAGTGAAAAACTTTGCAGTGCTTTTCATAAGTTTTTAAAACTTTAGGAAACATTGAGAAGGAAGCCATTAAAGCACACTCAATTGATGTGCCAATCACGTGGGTATCCAATTGCAGGTATCCACTCACAAAAAGTTCAAATTGGATACCTGTAAATTGGACACCCACATGATGGCACACTGGTTATGTGACAAATAGGCACTCAGAGAACCAATCACAATTGAGAATTTTGTTATAGATCCGATTATTATAATTATTATTGTAACAGTTGTTGTTGCTACTTGGGTACATGTATACTTTTTGGCTGCATTTCTTCTTGTCTTTTGGTGCCATGGATGAAGATTTTCATGTGATGCTGACCCTGAGGCTGTTGTGTGGGGATCAGGCAATAGCCTCATTAAATTCAGAACACAGTCATCAGGCTGAAAGCTAGGATTCATCCAATCAATGAGATCTGATTCTGATCCCCATTGACTATCGTTAACATCTTACAACTGTGACATCACTTTGAATATGCTGTTGACCTTGTAGAAAATGGAAAACTACAATGTGGTTTTTAAGTTGTACATGTAGGATTGTATTCATTTGAAAGTAAGAAAAGACTCCATAAACAAAATATATTTTTAAGTTGCTGATGTGTCTTTTAATCTCTTCTTTTAGTGGTCAACCTTTCCCTCTGACAGTGGAACATTTAGATATACTGTCTGTGACATTGGTGTACAACAGCCAAGCAACTGGATATGGAGTTATGGCATTGATCACAACAAACTTAAAAGAATTGATATTGCAATCAACTACTCAATGAAACGATGTGCATTGTATGACGATGCTAATGTAAGAAAATTCTGCTCTGAAAGGTTTGATGTTTATGGTTATCAGTCAAATCAGGAACCAAATAATTCATATTCTGATCCAAGAAATGGACACTACAGCAAAATGGAAACAATTTCATTACCAAGTAATTCATCTAACCAGTCTGTCAGTGTACAAAACATTGCAGAGATGTCCCTTTTCATCAAGGAAAGAACTTCAAAAGTCTTCCTTGCTATTCATGACCAAGGAGCTTGTCTTGTGGTAAACTCCATTGTGGTGACATATAATGTTTGTCCAAGGAAGACTTTACCTGATAGTCTTGTATTGTTGCCTCAGACAATTGCTCCAGTTAATGAATCTAAAATTGTAAAAGTTATGGGTAAATGTGCAGCCAATTCAGAACCTACCGCACCAGAATTGGGTGCCAACTGTGGTAGCAGTGGAGAGTGGGTCAGAGGAGATGTTTCTACAGGTGAATGTCTTTGTATAGCTGGATGGGAGAAAGTTGCTTCTGAATGCCAAGGTATGTAGTGGTCGTTGATTACTTCCAAACAGTTAAAAACTCACCTTTTTCATTCCAGCGTTTTTTTTCGTAATTTTTAGTGCAGTAGATCTTTTTCATCACTATTTTGATCTAGTATTTTAATTATTTATTGTTTCCTGTTTTCCATTTTACTGTGTGAATTTACCTCATTACTGTAATTTTTACCCTTTTTACTAACTTTATATTGTGAAGCGCATTTGAACATTACTTTATGGAATTAGCGCCATATAAATATATTGTATTATTATTAGTATTTATCCAAATGCGGTCGATGAGTTTAATTTCTCTGCTTCTGACGTGTAACCTGTAGTTTAGTCAGTAGTGTTAGACCAAATAGCTTTCAATGAGACATTTGAAGATTACACTATAACCCTACAAGTCTTAACTTACAGCTGTAACTTACCGCCGATGACCCGGGAAACGGCCTTCAACAATAAAATTATTATTAATGTCAAATAAAGAGCTTATCAGGTTTTAAATTGTTTGCAGACATAAGGATGACCCTTGTGGATCATTTACAATACTGTATACTTTCGCCCATTGTTATCTGTGAATACCTTCCAGTTCTATCAGAAATGTCAGAAATGGTGGTTATGAAATGTCTAAAGATAAGCTAAACGAGTTACTGTAGATAACGTACCTCCCGCAGGCTTGTGATTCTTCATAATAATTATTAGATAGCAATCAATAGATCTAATCTCAGCTAATTGGGATCATGAAATACCCGTGAAACGATGCCCAGATTCTACTCTAGGTGTTTCTTTCTACATCGTTTAAATCGTCACCATCACCGCCATATTACATGTGGATAGCAGCGAAAGAGCGATACCTCTTAAACGTAGCCGCTGACCGGCTCGTAAATGTTGGATGTATAGGGGATCTGTAAAGGGGGTTTTTTATACGTAAAGTTTATCTGGGCACATAGACCGGTCCTCTAGACTCAGATCTCTGTTTTAAGCAAAATAAAGAAACAACTTCAAAAGCTTTCTACAATTATGACTACGGTAAGTCCTTTGTTGAAGGCAGAGCAAACTGCAATTGTTTTTAGCGAAATTTAAGACGCAAACAATACAAGTTGAAATAATCAGCCCGACTTTTTCAATTACGTTTCCATGGCTTAGTGCCTCGTTAACGCCATTATGTTTATTATGTAACAACGCAGATGTTCAGGCTCTCACATGGCTAACTTTCGTTACTTCTCTTCAAAGTGTGTGCACTTGGCTATTTCAAAGACAAGCTTGGAAACGTTAAATGTTCCAAATGTCCAGAACATAGCGTCGCGGGCACAGGCAGGAAAAGTTGTAAATGCAAGCGAGGATTTTTTCGAGCGACGTGGGAACGTTTTTCAGATAATTGCACAGGTATTGTATTAAAACTTTGTGATTGTTTGTCTGCCTACTGTAGCTGGTTATAAGGCTGTGGGTCATTACGCCTTGGCGTGACTAAGGAGCTTGATCCCGCCAGCTTGAATTCCTTTGATGATCATTTACTTAACAATCCTTAAACCAGTGATTATTTTAACACGCGGGCTCCCTGTTAAAGTGCAAAAATTGGTGTGAATCTCTCTTGGTTAGAATGCCACTAATCAAAACCTAATGTGTATGCGTTATGCCTGGTCTCTTTAGGTATTCCTTCTGCGCCAAGACATTTACGAAAGTTGGACTTTAATCAGACAACAGTGAGCCTATCTTGGTCGCAACCTCGTCACCTCGGTGGCCGAAATGATTTATTTTATGAGATCGAATGCAAGATCGTGTGTCGGGAAGACGAATTAAGCTGCAGTCAAGACTGTGGAACACAAGTACTCTTTCTACCCAGACAAGGAAACTTTTCGCAAACCAAAGCGACTGTAACCAACTTGTTTCCACGAACGGGGTACATATTCAAGATATACGCAAAAAATGGTGTCAGTGCAGTAGCAGAGAAAGACGGATACTCTTCCAAGTTTGCGACATCAGAAGTCACTACGTTGGAATCAGGTATAGCGATCTCGTTGATTCGATCGCACTGTACTAGTGATCTTCATACGAGAAATTTTCGTTTCAGTAATTCCTTTCCCTTCCCTTGTTTATATCTTTGCTGTGTTACAACGATTCCCTTCCCTCTTTTTCTTCTTTCTTACGTTTACGTGTTTACCAAAATAATTACGCTTTGTTTGTATCTTTCCCATCTTCAGATAACGTTCTCATCTTTTCCCTTTCCCTCTTTTTTCTTACTCCTGAATCTTACGTTCGTTTATATTTTAGCTCCTGAAAAACCCGAGGTAACAATAAGGAGAACTGATAGCACCTCTGTGATTGTATCATGGACTCTAAACAATGGCAATGAAGGCATCCATTACTACCTTGTGACATACCGTAAATTATCAGATGGCTCAGATGAGCACACAATCAACACAACTCAAACTAAAATCGAAATAACTGGACTTGAACCTGGTGTTGAGTACGAATTCGAGGTGAGTGTCCAGTCAGTTGTGTGATTGTCCAGTCAGTTGTGTGAGTGTCCAGTCAGTTGTGTTCTCAGCTACATTTGACTGAGTTAATTTTTGAAACATAAACCGAAAGACAATCAAAAGGACAACAAGAGGAAAGGATCTTGTTTTTTTGTTTTTTG